TAGATCATTTCTGTACATATATATACAAGTACGTGTACCAACATGGACTAAGAAAAAGTTTCTTCGTGTGCAGGCACAATATGGATGTAAGTTTGTCCATGGACATGTGGGACTAAATAAATTAACTGCTCTAATAATTATATTTTCATTCCTATGTTTCTTTTAGTTTTGGAAACTGTACAATAACTAGATTACAATTGTATTGTGGGTTGTTTGCAGCTATTGTTAGGGTATCTTCCCCCTGATCGTGCACTTTGGCCTTCAGAGTTGGCCAAGAAGAGGTCTCAATATAAGCATTTCAAAGAGGAGCTATTGATGAATCCTGTAAGTCCTTGAATCATTTTCATTTTTTGCCTTTACTTTTCTTTCTGATCAGAACTATCTTTACTCCTTTGAAAGACACTGAAATATTGTAATAATGAAAACAGAAAAAGAAAAGGTATCAATTAATAAATTTGGCTTTGTTGGCAAGGAGTAGTCCCACAGTCATATATCTGCAAATTGGTCTTTTACTTTTTTGGATTTTATTGCGTGATGTGTTGGGTTTTAGAAATGCATAAGCATACAAATATTCAAAAACTCATTTTTAGAGAAATCCTGAATTCATAAGATGCTCATGCTTTTCATGCTTCCTTTTTCCCTTATTATGGTGGGGGTACGTAATCGGGTATTCTTCAGATTTTATTTAAACAATTGAAATTTACTAGTATTCTGGGCTTTTTTTTTTTTTTTACTGGAGAAAATTCTTTCATCATTTTGAGCTAAGATGAATTGACTATCTGAGTAAGGTAGCTTAGGATGGACTTAGAAAGTTTGATCCTTTGCTCACTAGATGTTGGCTGTACCAAGATAGAAGAAATGAGAGACATTTTCACATTTTTTACTGGATCTTACCCATCCTTGAATATTTGAACGGCTTATTCTTCTCTTTACACTATATTTATTGCAGGCAATGAGATCTGATGTTGTATAGTCGAACTTACATTCTCTTTTAGATTTACATATTTCTCATGTAACTTCTACAATTTCAAATGTTTGATGCTCATTTGGTCCTCTTGATCTAATTGATTCTGCTATTATATTTATTTTAATGGCTCAGGAAATGCATTTGCATCAATATACTTTATTTATTTTATAGAAAGATCTGATGGCAGGAAGCTAATGGCTGAAAAGAACATAAAGTGCTTGGAATTAATTAGTCATGTGTGAACATTGGATTTCTGCTTTCAAACTGCACTTATTTCCACTCCACATATCTTTAATTTTTGTTTTGGCATTTCTGAATGTTTCCATGGCTATTTAGTCAAATATTACAAGGCAGATGGAAAAATCAAGTCTTGAGAACAGTGAACCAGATGGAGAAGACAAGGGTTTTCTCTCAAGATCAGAGATAACTCATGGAGAGCATCCATTAAGTCTTGGGAAGAGTAGCATATGGAATCAATTTTTCCAGGTATCTTTTTTTCTCCAAGCACTGTAATCATGTATTACTGAAAGATTGGGGTTCTCCTTTGTCACTGCAATCCTGGGTGATGACTATCTTGTATTTGAACATTTAAGTAGTTTATCTAGCATTTCAAGAGTCGGAGTCACTCTAATTCGTCCCTTACCATTTATAATTTATAGGACACAGAGATTATAGAACAGATTGACCGAGATGTCAAGCGCACTCATCCAGACATGCACTTTTTCTCAGGGGACTCAGCTTTCGCAAAATCCAACCAAGTGAGCTGTAGCTTCATTTTTTATTTAGTGTTTTTTTTTTGTTTATTTGTTGTAGTGATGCATATTTGTAAATCCATTTTAATTGCTCCATATATATGACTTTCAGGAGGCTTTGAAGAACATATTGATTGTATTCGCGAAGTTGAATCCTGGTATAAGATATGTGCAAGGGATGAATGAAATTTTGGCGCCGTTATTCTATGTGTTCAAAAACGACCCTAGTGAGGAAAATGCTGTAAGTAACGTTTCATGGTCTATACTACCTGTACTATATCTACATTGAAAACCTACAATCTTATGATTCGGAAAAACATTACACTTTGTATGTCAGCTTTCCAGCTTATTTTCTTAGAAACTTTCTCAATGTTTTTAATCGACCATCTTCCCTGTCCATTTTCTGCTGCTTGAAACGAAGACAGATGTATTGAGAAGGATATTGTTTCTTTCTTTGAGAATTGTGTATCAAACATGAGATTGTGAAGTGGTGTGTGGTCGTATTATTGGTCTTCTATTTCAAGGGATGTGATGGAATGGTTAGAGAGATCCTTTGAGTTGGACTTGGAGGAAATCAAGCTGATCATTTTGAGAGTGGTACAGAGAATGTTCAGGTTGAAATGGTGTATCTTTGGCCTATTTTAGATTCTTTGGGATATTTTGAAAAGGATTCTGATGAAGGTTTTCAAGAAATTTTGTTCATCATGGTGTGGTCCATGCAATCTGGAATTCCAATTTTTTATGTCTTATCCCAAAAGAAAACAAATTGTAGGAAGACTAGTGAGTTTCAACCCATTAGTCTGGGTTCTAGTTTGTACAAGATCATTGCAGAAGTTTTAGAAAATAGGTTGAAAGAGGTTTGAGGAAACTGTTTCTCGGAATCAGTGTGAGTGCTTATGTGCAGAGGAGAAAAGTTATCAATGTCATTTTTGTTACCAGTTTCATGTTTGCTGCCATCCAATCCCAAAATTATTGAGAATAAGACTTCACTTTTAGTTTTATTGGATTCGTTTTTGAGGCATGACTATATATTGTTTGTTTTAATTTTTTAATCAATTGAGTAAGATTACAGATCTGCTAAAATAACAAGTTACTGCTATTCCTCTCAAATATCTTTTGGACCAGTTAAATTTTCTTGGAGTATTGAGTACCCACCGACCAACATAAATAATGCAGGCAGCATTGCATTTTAAATGAGAATAGAAACTAAAAAAAAAATAAAAATACTAAAGACTGTAAATTAGTATTTTTTTTCCAAATTGATAAAAAAGAAACTAATCTCCACCACATGTCAAAGCAATTGTGGATGCAGCAATTTGAGAACAGCAAGAAGACAAAACAAAATTTAACTTGATAAAAGTGTCGCCCCTTTAATAGCCTTTTTATATTTGGTGGTTCAACATAGTATTAGAAAAGGCGAAGGTCTTGGCATCAAGTCATGCTGCTACCCTTTTATGAAGACTGCTCACATGTCCTTTGATGAATAAATAATCAATCCAGCACGTGATAGTGCCTGTTGAAGACAAATTTAAATAAATAAATGGACTGTCTACTTCAGGAACAAGCATGACATGAAGAAATTGCCAACTTTTATCCTTAAAAAAGTAATTGTCTTGTGTACCCCCTTTTAACTAAAGTTTTTAGACGAGGTGGTTCAAAAATTTTATTGCATTTTTGTTAAATGTTATAAGCTGGTCAAACTTTATTTTTATCTACGCAGTCTTTATGATTCACGACTTTTACCTACTTTTAAATCACATTTCTTGGGATCCACCGCTTATAAACAATTATAAGCTCTGGTAAACATGCACTTTATTTGTGATTACTGTATTCTTATAATCTTAATATGCAGCAGTGACTACCAAGTTCATTTGCATCAACTGGGAATAGTTCAGGGTTGGAAGAAACTATTTTGATGTGCGATAATCTTCATTGTTCTTATACAACAAAGATCGTTTTTTATTCTTGATTTGGTTTCTTTTTTCAGTCACCATTATCCTTTTGCAAGTCATGCAGGTCTCTGCTGAAGCAGACACTTTCTTCTGTTTTGTGGAGTTATTGAGTGGATTTCGGGATAATTTTGTTCAACAACTTGATAACAGCGTTGTGGGGATAAGAGCCACCATCACAAGATTATCACAGCTTCTGAAGGAGCATGACGAAGAACTCTGGCGTCATCTTGAGATTACAACAAAAGTAAGATTGTAGAATACTTTTGTTTGTCCAAACTGTACAATTTTGTGTTCTCTTCTTTGCCATTGCTCAAAAATATTAAGTGGACTACAATATTTGAAAAGGGTATCGTAAAGCTTAATTTCAAAAGATACTCAATCTTGGATTTCAAATTTATGTTAATTTTATTATGTCAAATATCTTGATCTACATTAGGGTTGGTTCGTGCATTAATTGAGCTTTTAGTTTACCATTTTTGATCTCCTGTGGAACATTTTTGCAAGGGTTATATACAGTCATCAATGTATATATGGTCTTCCTTGTACTACAGGTACACCTGTTAGGATGTTATATTTCGGAAAATAAATATTTGAAGACTCGAGGATTGTTGTTTATTTGATTTAGAGCATGGTTTTTCAGTTTGTAATTCTTAGATCTGCTACAAATGCTACTAACACATTATGAACAAAAGGTTTGGTTGACAAATAATCAATCAAAAATTTCTTGGCGACAAACAGAATTTATTCTATTTACTTGATAATTGGATATATTTGAGCTTTTATTTTGTTGACTTCTTGTACGAACTAGCCTTTAATCTAGCTTGAGTTACTCCATTCTTGATTGATAGAACTAAAAGGTGAATCAGTAACAAACATCACTTGAAAGGAATCCTTAGCTGTCTGTAATGTTAAGCCACGTCTGTTGGCAAGTAGTCGTTAGTATCTTGATTAGTATAAAAGTTCAGTCTTTTGTTCGAATCTGAGCTCAAACAGTGTCAAGCCAAGTTATATGCTTTTATCATGTAGCTAGGCGTTTCTGGTGGTGCACATGGATACTTTGTCTTTTATATTATAGATTTTGGCTTTAGCTACATGCTATTTAAGTTAAGAAGGCAAATTTTCTTCATTTCCTTTCTATTCCCCAGAGCTGATTTTTATTTTTTCTGATGTAGTTGTGTGTGAATGTGACAGGTCAATCCCCAGTTTTATGCATTCAGGTGGATTACACTCCTGTTGACCCAAGAATTCAATTTTGCAGACAGTCTCCTAATATGGGACACACTCCTGAGTGACCCTGATGGTCCTCAAGTAAGTCAATATCCTGACCGATTATTTCTACTTCGAAATTTCTCATTCATGTACCAATACATGTATTGTGTAATAGAGCATTTTACAGCAGAAGTTTTGTGTGAAAAAAGTTGATAGATAGCAAGAAAATTATCCCTCATGTAAAGCACAAAGGGAGGGAAAGGTGATGCCAACAAAATCCATCCCCACTCCTGTAACCCTTTCAATTAGCATTTGCTTAATTGTTATTTGCTCCTTAAATATGTTCAGTCCGATTTTCCTCTACCAGAAGAAAGCTGCATGTCCAACTACTACATATTTCATATGTTTTCTTTATCATCACTTCATCCCTCATGACTAAGTACTGAAAGTTCTTCCTTTGTTACCATTTTTTTATTAATTCAATTTTGAGATATACGGATTTCGAGATGTGGCTTTTTTTTTTTTTTACACGTCCCAGTTCTCACTGCAATCTTTCTATATTTTGATACAAAAGTAGAAAATGCCATCTTATTTTTGTCTAAAAGAGCATAGGATCCAGACGTGTATACATTCTGATTGTTTTTCGATAACCTGTCCCTTTTAATTTCTTCGGGAAGCGTTTACTTCTAGTTTTAATGACTTCTAAGTTACTCATAAGGAATCCCATTCCATCACGAGTGCTAGAAAGAATTGGTAGAAAATGTAGGAGAGCATATTTTCATTGTTTTGGCAACGTAGAAGTGTCTAGAACCATCGATCAACTTCTCCTCAATTTAACATTATATCTAATGCATGTTTGGTCTTTAACCTGTCTTTTCAACTCCTAGCGCGTCTGATGAGAATCTTATGTGATATTGCTATTTCTTTCCCTTCATCTCTCTTTATTCTTGTGGCTGAAAATGTATGTGCAAACCGATTATAACTGTTTCGTTGAGTGAATTCTCTGTGAATTGCAGGACACACTGCTCAGAATTTGTTGTGCCATGTTGGTTATCGTCCGGAGGCGCTTACTTGCTGGTGACTTTACGTCTAATCTTAAGTTACTCCAACACTATCCATCGACGAATATAAGCCATCTGCTCTATGTCGCCAACAAGTTGCGTAGTCATGGCACAGGCTAAGTTTTTGAATCACATTTTCTAGTATTGTTTCATTGTCATCGTTTAAAATGGTACTTCTTGTAAAATTTCAGGATGTAAATTTAATGCGAGTCGTTCTTAGGTATCTTTTTCCGATTCATACTTTCGACCTGTGGCTAGGTTGTGTATTGTAGATTTTTTAACATTTTGAGATTCAGACATGCTAGCTGATGGTTGTGGTTTTTGTTGGAATCCTTTTTCTTCCTTTCAATCTACACTTTTAATAGAATCATAACGCNNNTACACTTTTAATAGAATCATAACGCAAACACTTATTTTTCAAACTAGGCCCCTATTTGAGCTCCATTTTTAAAATTCATTTTTTCCAGCATATACACGACTTTTTTGATAATTCTAGATCAATCCACAACAATCAGCAAACAAGCAAGGGGATAACAGAGTATATGATCACTTTACTGCTATAAATTTAATGCATAAATATGAGTTTGGGGATGGAAATTTTTTCGGTTCAACCTTATAGAGCTGGCTATTTTACCATTTAAGATGTGCTCCAATGTTTCTTCTTGAAAACAGCATTGGCACTTGGATGCAAGACTAATGCCTTACTTTTCTTTGATAATTTCATCGGTGGGAGTCCACTTGTTCCAGAGTCTCCAGCTAAATTAGAATTTAGAAGGAATAATCTTATTCCAAATTTCTATATGTATCTGTGCATGTAAAAACAAATATTATGTGTGTATTTACCGTGAAATATTCTTTCTCCCAATTTAAAATTTAATATGTTCTTCATTCATTTTTTTTTTTTTTCTTTTAGATTGTTATAAAATTCCTAGTTTTGTCGCACGGTAAGGTGCGCATCAATTGCATATGGGCAACTCGTGCTCCAAATCCTATTTTTCTTCTACTATCAAGCAAAGATCTCAAAGAACAAAATTTTCTAGTTTCGAATAAGGAACTCCTCCTTCCAAGTTGCCAAGATGCCCCTTGGTTGCATGACCGTTGATTTTGGTTGCTTACAAGAAAATTGAAGCCCT